GCTGAAAATTCAGCTTTGCATCACAGGAATAAATTATATTAAAATAAAAAAAGAGTTCTAATAATTTTTTATACAGCATTTCACAATATTAACATTTAATCCTTTACTGATTTAACAAGTGATTATCATGCAAGAGTCAACCATTTCCACAGAATCACATTGTGGAAGAGTAGTTTAGAGTAGTACAGAAGCTAGAGCGGATGTTAAAATGCAGAAAAGTAGAGAACAGAGAGAACAAAAATACATTTTTGTAGATTTATTTATATTAAAGAGTCATTTTGAGGTTTGTACATGAATAAGAGCCCCAGGTGTTCTTACAATACATATTTCAGTAATATTTTGACAATGTTTGACAAGTTTTGTTGTCAACATGTAGAAAAGCGGAAAACAACATGAAGATTTTTTAGGTTTGTTTATAAGAAGTACATTGGTTTAGGGTTATGGTTGAGATAAATGTGTCTTCATACGTTTATTGGACTTTAATTACCACAAACTGAATTCTTACCATTGTTAAAGTGATGTCAGTTAGACAGAGTTGACCAGTGGGCTCTGGTTAATGGGCGGTAAGTGCGGTAAGCTGGGATCTGTTTCTGTATTCACTCTCCTCATGTGAGTTTCACCTCCACAGTGTCTCACCAAAGCAAACACAGTTTGCAGAACATCTCATTTATGACTTCATGCTTGTATCTATATTTTATAGACTTTAAATGGTCACTAAATACTGATTCAGATCTTGTCTTACTCTGGCGGGATCCCTCCATGTGTCCACCGTAGTAGTTGACCTGTGAGAGTGGGCTGTATTCCAAAGACGAATCCACATACATTGACGTCAGAGTGCACATCTCTCCAACACCACCTCCACTCTCCATCTGGCTGCGCTTTCCACAGCCGTTTAGATCCTTGGGATGGTCGATCACTTGTATCTGGTATATGTCAGAGCAAAATAATGAAAAGCTCTTTAGCTGAGTTTTGAAGTTATGGTCACGTAGTTTGGAAGAACACATGGACTAAATAGTCTCCTTCATCTTAGCATTTCTGCTCCACGTTTTTCATTGTAAAGGTTCAAAAGCCAAATTGTTCACATAAACAGCAGTATATTTCATCAGCGACACAGATTAACCAAGAAAATGAAATCAGATGCTGTTAAAGGTTAGATGTTTACTTATGAGCAGACCTTTTCAAGTGTCTGGTCTTATGATGCCAAAAGCACAGTGTCAATTAAATAGAGGAAATTTCAGGTCAGTGTTGGAAAAGAGCCAGATGAACATACTGTAGAGGTGATTTTTTTGTTTGCTGGTGTCACTGTTTGATCTTCAGTCTGATTTGCAGGTTCTGTCTCAGGGATCGGACTCATGTGAGCTCTGCACGTGTCAACTGCTATCCTGAGACTCTTTACTGGTCTTTTTCTCTCTTTCGGCTTCTCCTTCAGTTGCTCTTTCTGTTGTTTGGTCTTAAAGGCCACTTGTTCATTTGGAATCAAGATCATTATAGACAGTAAGTTAAAGAACAAGCATTATTCGGTGTCCAGTTATATTTCACAGCGAGCAGAAGCTGAAGAAGCTGCTTGTGGTTGTAATGGTTTACATTTTAGGAATCAGTTTTTACTTCCTCTTGGCAATGCAGGGAAGGATTTTCCTAACTTAATGCTTTCAGTCCTGACATGAATAGAGTGCATTCAGAGGCAGGTATCTGATATGCGTTTCTTAAAGATGTAAACATTCACCCTCTGAATGGATTTGAACTAAACACTGGCACAAACACAGTAACATATTTTGAGTTTGTTCATTGTGTTCGCTGACATTGCTGTGCTGCACAGGATGTTGTTGATCTAATCAAGAACTGCTTTTGAATAGTAAGCGTTTATCTGATCGTTAGTGTCATTTGTGTTTCATGAACTCTACCTGGTGCCGCTTGAGTTTTCTCCTGGATTTGTACATGTACCGAACCATCCGTTATGGGTGGTAGAGGACCCAGGTTTGCCCTGTTGGGCCGAGGGGAACAGAGGAAACATAGCTGATATCTGATCTGATTAGTTTTTTTCTCCTGAAAAACAATGAGATATATACTTTAATGCTAGATATATAATGTACATTATTGTTTAATGGTTTGGGGTCTGTAAGATTTTAAAATGTTTTTGAAAGAAAAACTGTTCACAAGGCTGCATTTCTTTGATCAAAAATACAGTAAAAACAGTAATGTTGTGAAACATTATTGCAAATAATGTTGTTCCAATTAACTTGTTTTCTTCCATTTATTATATTGAACTGAGCAGCCAGGGCCTTCTTTAATTATTTTTTTATGTTCTACAGAAGAAGAAAGTCATACAGGTTAGAAACAACATGAGGGTGAGTAAATGATGAAAGTTTTTTTTTTTTTTTTTTCCCTTTATGACTTTAAATTTAACATGAAAGATCATGTTAAAGCATTTTGCCCTTTATTCTATGTACCTTTAAAATATATAAAACATTGACCGGATTGTTTAGAGAGTCTCACCTTTAACCTGCCTTGAATTATAGTTCTTCTCTCCAGGTCTGTGATGAGTGTTGATGTTCTGTATAGCATGTTTAGTATCTGGCAATAAGGGGTGCGTTACGCCGGCAAGAGATCCAACCGTTGACTAAAGGAAACAAAGAATCATATATATAAAGACCTACATGTGTTTGATTTTTCAGTCCTCTCCAAACATGTTCCACTATCTCCAACTATCTCTTTTGAAACCACTCAAACACAATGTTCACTTATTTTCAAGGTCATTTGTCTGTATTATTTATTTATTTATTTATTTATTTAGTCATTTAGCAGACGCTTTTATCCAAAGCGACTTATAAATGAGGACAATAA